CGCCCGCCCGCAGAGGGTGGTTGGATGTTGTCGGAGAAACATCTGCGTCTATGGAGGGTTCTGGAAGAGCGCCAGGGGATTAAAACCCGGGTTAGCGCCGGTATCATCATTCCAAGAATTGCTATCGAGTGTACACACTACCCGATGAAGAGCGACGAGAGCGCAGGCGTTAATGACTGAAAATGCATAGCAAATTGCTGCGCAATTGTGTTAGGCGGGAAACAACCAAAGTACTGTTAAAGTAAACATGTCACATGTTGCACGTGCAACACAATTGCCCAGCAATGGGCTATCCGTTTTTCTTCAACGAAGGCCACATCCCGCTGATGAAACTGGGATGAACCCTGTAGCGACGAAAATAATTCCCGGAGAGGGGTATCGGATCGGGCTGAAACTTTGGCATCTGGGTGTGACCCCTATGGAGCTACCTTTGGGCGGAGAATGAGCGTTCGATGATGCCTAGTTTATTTTTGCGGTAAAAAAGACCGTGTAAATTTTCTTTTGTGACACCCTGTATATTTCGGCATCACTAGCCACACTGAAAGTAAATCCCTTCTCGGCATCAACAGCTCCACACACTTTTTTTTTTTTTTTGCGTTTTAAACAGGTTTTAGGGGCACTCAAGTTGTCTGTGATAGTCTTTTTAACCCAGGAAGTCCCAACTTTTGTGTTCAAACGACTTACTTTAATTAAATTTGGTTACCCCAAGAATATAATTAAAGAACCCGAATGATTATAGATACGTGACCCAGCAGTGGGCGCAGTTCTCTTAAATTTATAAATACACCGATCCAGCAAAAGTTTCTGTCGCACAGGCGATGAACATCTAACGCACCCTTGGGTGTAATATTACAAACAAACAAATCACTCGAGGTTACCATTATTCCGAGCATCAGATAAAATACGAGTTAAGGCCCACTCACACATATGCGACCGAGTAAGACCGAGAGAGACCAGACCGGTTTTTTAAGCCTCTCGCGACGTCTTAGGACCGGATGCTATGCAGCGGAGCTGGTCTATAAGACATCGCAAGAGGCTTAAAATCCGGTCTGGTCTCTCTCGGTCTTACTCGGTTGCATATATGTGAACGGGGCTGTAAACATTCATCGCCTACCTTATATATCCAATATCAAATCGAAAAGCAACTGCATTCGATGTCTTATGCAGGCAAAGCACGATGATGCTTTCAGGGAGCACACATAGTGACTTCGCACGATGATTATTCCCGCGCAAACCTAAGTTGACAGAAGTACTTGGCCTTTGTGAAGCCTCTAGCTGTCCTAGAGTCACCTGCACACTCAATCATGTGCCCCCTCTAACCTCCTCACACGTATCCGGCCCGCCCACGGTGAAAATGATCGGAAGATGTCGTAGAATTAACTGCAGAAGTTACGCACATAATAATAGAATACAGTTAGGTAGCAAATATAAACATCAGACAACGCCTTTACAAAGTAAGGAAACAAAAAAACGCGATGAGAAACACGAATACAACGGCTTCGCCAATGCGCGAAGAAGAGCGCGGAGCAACGAGTTGAAGCCACCTCATGGCGGCCGCGTCACGTGATTTCAGGATGGCAACGCCCCCATGCGACGGGGGTTGAAAAGGTCTTGTGGTGCCAGGGCGGCCAAATCGCAGCTCGCGAGTCTCGTGCGGCTCTTCGAAGTCCCAAGTGCGGCTCGCAACTCCCTGGTAAACTCCCCCTCCCCCCAAAAATATAAAAATAAAAAAAAAATTTAAAAAGCAAGGCATATAGAAAAAAAAGCAGCTTGCGTTTTGTTAGCTAGTTTTGCGCCGTCATACGCACACTGGACCAATGAGAAAATGCACTGAGCAATCGCTTTAGAAAACATTTTTAAAACAGTGCCACACCCCCCTTTTCTTGCTGTTCATCACTTAAAAGGCTCTTTCGATGCGTTCATCTGACCACTCCTGCTGTAGCGAATAAGCATCAAATGGCCCAACGTTTTCCTTCAATAAAGGTGCCCGCTTCTCTACTTTTTTGTGCCTGCTAAATATGTAGCGTAGCCGCGGCGAAAACATGTGCCACGCGTCGTTCGAAGGCTAAACACTGCTCTCTCACTCTCTTTTCTGACGTCTCATTCGTCACAGCCTTCTCTATTCTCCCAATGCTTGGGAATTCGACGACGGAGCCATAGAGTGCCCGGTCGCAGATTTGGAGCGCGAGGATCTGGTAGAACCGAGCATTAATGAGCCATTTCTCGGGGAACCAGGACGCCAGCGCACATATTTTGCAGCGGCGAGGACCCGAAACACACTTGTTCGCTCGGGAGACGCTGCGTTTCGGAGTTTCGCCGCAGCGTGGAGTCAGTCATGTGGCTTTCCTCTCATCCGTTGTCTGCCGCTCCATCTTTTCCATTTCGGCGGCCGCTTCTCGTGGCGATCTGCCAGGCTTTGTCAGTATATAGGAGTCTATGTCTCAGTGCATCGCTGCTTCCCATCACCGGTGTCCTCTTCAGTCGGTTCTTTTCCCCAGCGAAGCATATCCAAGAAGACCGGAGGACTTCCAGCGAGACTCTGACCCTTCATCAAAGAGTGGACGCAACCGAGAGAGACGCACTTATCCCTTCGGGAAAACTGAATATCACGCCATTATCCCCTCGCCCCTTGACGCGCAGCAACACCTCCTAGACGAGGAAGCCTCGGTGCTGAATATTACTGAGTCAGTAATGAAGGCCACCGCTGGGCACATATTGGACAAATGCGCTGAGTCAGCGCTCGGCCGGAACTGGCGTTCTCTCTCTAAACTTCGTTTTACATTTAACCCAGACGCAGCTACCGAGGCTACGAGCTCATGGGACAGACCAGACAGCGTCAGAAGCGCGCCATCATGGTGTTTGTCATGTTTCTGTACGCACTCTACCATCGCTGAACTGATCATAAACACAAAGAACCCAGTGGCTTGCACTTTTGATGCCCTTGATTGGTACCTCGTAGCGTCGGGTGCGTCTGGACTTAAGCTGAAACAAAGTATAGACCAGGGGTGGCCAAACCGCGGCTCGCGAGCCGCATGCGGCTCTTTGCTGGTCGAAGTGCGGCTCGCGGATCCCTCGTAAGGAACCCCCCCCTTCGCCCCTTTCCGCGTTTCCCCAAGAAAAAAAAGGAAAGATTTCAGAATAAAGCACACCGCAGCTTGCAGTTTGACAGCCTTGTAGTCCCATACGTGCAGTCGTACAGCCTTGTGCCCCCATGCGTACAGTCAGACTCTCAATAAAAGTTAAGTTTGCTTCTCCTCCTCCTCCTCCTCCTCCTCCCCCCCCCCCCCCCCCCCCCCCCCGGGGCTCTTAGGAGTTCCGTGGTTTTGTTTGCGGCTCCTAGGCCAGGCCAGCCTGGCCACCGCTGGTATAGGCCTTTGCATCGCCTATCAACCGGGTGAAAAATGCTGAGTCACTTAGTTGTACGTATGCGCAGCGTCCGATATGCCGCACAGCAGAGCAACAGCGCATGCTCAGAAGGCGTTTCACAGCCCAGCAGACAAAGATGGCAGCGTGCAGAAAGCGATATATTCGCAAAGGTCTATAGGAAATGTTGGAGCGACCCTTGCGCAAGAGCGCGACAAGGAGAAAGATTTGCGATGCAGGAGAGGAAGATGAGGAGATGAGAGAGGCGAAATCGTTTTGTGTTACGGATGAGAACTTTCCGCTGTTACACTGAGCATGACGTACGCACGCGAACGATCCTCACGCTCGGTGTCACAGCGTAGACCTCTTTTAGGTCTAAACCTAAAAGAGGTCGCTCAGCCTCGTGATTGGTTGAGCTCCCTCCTCGGACTGCAGCGATTGGCTCTCTCAAGTGCTTTGCGGGAAAGTAGACGCACCGGATTGCTTAGAGCGCACGCTGCATTCAGTGCGCACGTTGGAAGGTATAGGGCCGTCGTACCCGTGCTCGTGCAGCAAATCACTGAAAAAATGTCACGATGCGTGTAAAAATAGGGATCGCACGTTAGAACAAAAAAAAAAAAAAAAAGTTTGAGCGAAAGTTTTATTAAGCGAAAATCATTTTACGCTCTTTTCGAAAAGTGGAACACGCGGGGGAATTTACTGCACGGAAATCGGAACTTATGCTTAAACAAAAAGACATATATGTGTTCATGCTATAAGGTAAACTTCGCTCACGTCGATCGCGTTTTAGAGAAATAAATAAATTAAATAAAAAAAAATACACGACGATTTTTGGCGTGTTTTGGTATATGATTGGATTTTCGGTTCGTTTTGTTTTCGGAGATGCATATTCCACGGTTTACTCGCTCGCTTGCTGGCGGCAAACTAACGAAATAAAACCACAACCTCAAAGGAGGGTTTAGTAAACTAAGAATAGTTCTCCCCCCTGTCAGCACGAAGACCACGAAAACCAGAATGAAGAACAAATGGTCTGCTCTCAAGACGACGTCTCGTCTCCAACAAAAGATAAACAAAACACGAGGAAAGATACACGAGAGCGACAGAACCATAACCGAACCACCACAAAGCAGTGGATCGCGGCAAGTAGCCGTAACCACCGAAAATTTCAAGGATACGCACACGAATATCTACGTCGCGACACAACCACAAAGAACGCCGACTCACGCGGACTTTCACTCCTAAACGACGCGTACGAGACGACGACAATTCCACCACGACACAACGAACAAGAAAAGCCCAAAAACAAACACAACATTAGCCATGTCTTCCCTTTTCAGACATCCCGTCGTTAGAGTCACGAAAAAAATAAAAATAAAATAAAACCGGAACGAATTCTCGAGGCAACGAAACCAACGCGACAGTAACGCAAGCATCCTCCTTCCGGAAACATCGCGTGCTCACTGAGGAAGAGCGGCAGTCGCGTGGCCGACGGGCAAAAACCGGCTCCTCTTCCAACGTGTCCTTCTCAGTCCTTCCACCGTGCGTGATCGACATTAATTCCACCCACCGCCCTCTCCCTTTTGTCTACCCACTTCCCCACCTCCCTCGCTTATATGTTGTTCTGCCTTGGGCCCACCGGCAACGGACAGTGGTGTGTGTGTGTGTGTGTGTGCTGAGGCCGTCGGCAGAACAGTGAAAGGAGGCCCCCGCTAGTTCCCAAGAGGCGACAGCCAGCCCGCTGCAAGTCTCTCCTGCGCCTCCAGAAGGCAAGAAAACCGGCTTCGGCAAAAGATCTGCCACAGGACGGAGCTGCCGACACACTCACACACACGCACGCACACGCACGCGGCGGCCAAGAGTGAGGCGCGTGCCGGCAGCCAGAGAGCTTCAGTGTCTGCACGGAGTTTGACCCAGTTGGTCGGAGACCGAGCACGTCCGTCCGTCCGTCCAGTCGCATCTTCCTCGGACCTCGGCGCCCACGAGCATCATCCGCCGCCCTAGGCCTAACTTTCAACGGTGAGTCAAGTGGGACAGCCAGATGTCTGGTACGCGGTGTGTCCCTCTACGCCGGATGGGACACGTGGATGCTCTGAACCTCGGGAGGACGTAGACCATCGGCCGACGGATTGTGCCTTGTCCGCGGAAAGAGTGCGCTTCTGGTCCCTCTTAACCTACATTCGTCAGAATGCCATTCCACCTTCTCGCTCGTGACAGCTAGGCGGAGATTCATCACTGCCGTATGGAGAAGCCGGCATCGATGTAGGCCATCAAGGTCTCCAGCTCGCCATCAGTTATTCAGTTATGCACCCATCGGCATACTCAGATCGGCACGGACGTAATGGATCGAAAGGCGTAAACAGAACAATTTTCTCTGGGACTCTATGACCAGATCCATCCGGAGGAGCGATAGTCATTATACTAGCCATACCACATCCTTACCTACACTCACCTGGAGGAGCGACAGTCATTACCCGCGCCATACCACATCCTTACCTACACTCACGGTTTCCTACAGTGTCCATTTACCTGCGTGGTATACCACACGATTACTCAACCAGTGAGTCACCGACAACAGCGTCAGAGTTGCCATAAGAAGGCTTTATAGTTCAAAGCCTCTAATTGTACGAAGAGCATCGCTACTATAGGCTACTCACAGTATATTTCCTTAACCTCTGCGCCTGCAGAGTACGCAATGTACCGGGTATTTATCCTACTAAAAGAAAGCCTACTGCTTAAGACCCTTCTTCAATAATACACAAAGGTTGTGAGCCTAGGGTAGTTATGGTAGTCTAAAACATTAAAGCAAATCATATACGCGTTACTAAAAAAACTTTAATTAAAAAAAGTTTACGTATTATCTTTTGGTGATCATAGCTTCCCACGCGAAGTCTCGCTATCCTACAACCGTCTCGCAACGCGACAAAGCGACGTCTAGAAAGCAGTTCGCTCAATTAATTCAAACTTAATTTATCGTCCCATGCCGAGTTCGCCGCAGTGACAGATATCGCTTCACACATCTCGATCCTTTACTCCATAACGAAAGCGCGCGCTCCCGACCTGGCAAGGATTGCGCTTAGTCCACCCGCTCCTAGATCCATACTCCAGTTTACCTCACCATGGACCGCAGTAGGGGACGAGCCATCCCAGGCAATCAAGCACTGCGAAGAAATCGCATGACTATACGCGCCCCACTACGATCATCAAGCATTCACCGACGTGATCCATCGGTGAAACAGAGCACAAAAGACGGTGTCGGTATCTACCGCGATTCTGCCGGAGCATGCCCCGCGTCGGCTTTCCCCCTAAACACTCGCCGAAGAGGCAACCCGAGAGAGCGGTCGGTCCCTTATCGAAAACGCCGCGTCGAAAGCGCATCGCACCGCTTTTCCCACCCGCCTCCGTATGTTATCCCACCCACTCTTGCTCTCTCTACAAGGTTGTCCGCGTGTGTTTGAAGCGATCTTGATCCCCGCAAACAGCGTTTGCTTTCGAAAAAAAAAAATGAAAATCTGTCCGAGTAGCGCGCGCCGTCGCCGATGCCAACGGATAACGCGACGAGCAACGCGGAAAAAACAGCCGCCCATTCGTCCACGTGTATAGCCGCGAATTGTGCGCGTCACCGACTGGTGCGTTTCGCGTCCTATTAACCCGCCCGTATACATCGAAAGCGGTCCCGATGTGGGGACAAATGACGTCACAAAATACGAAGTGTCACGCTGTCGGATGTCACGATCCAAGCGGTTGGTCGTTAGAAAATGCCGGTGAAAAGCAACGAGCGAACGCGAGCGTCGCTCGTTGGCAGGAGTTGGCACGCCGAACACGGCGTCCCAACTCCTGGCTGCCAAAGCTTTGTGGGCTGTCAAACCGAAGAGCGATGCTGCAGCAGAACAGGCGTCTGCCACTTTTACCACTGCTGCTGTGTGACGCCGCCAGGATCGCGGCCGGCGACAGCGTGACACTTTTATGACGTCATTGGGCGCAAAATCGAAAAACCACTTTTTTGGACGTCCCAAACATACCAGTCATAGGGAGACACGTTTCACTTCCAGGCACCATAGGTATATAGGGATGAAAACGAATCAGTCACGTTTCCAAAATGCTTACCCTGTAAAACAACCGTAAACTGGGCTCCCTCAGCTGATACAGCCGCCGTCTGCTTCGTTGGGCTGTAGAGTTCCATGGCCACAGAACGGAACATGTAATTTTGTCTACCATATAAACGCTGGTTACAAATCGATTTTACGCAGCCACTCAACCGGTGATCCCCTCGGACAGAACAACCTCCAAACCAGTACCGCATATACCATATATGACGTACTCGAGCAAAGTAATCAAGTTGTTACTAATGAAAACAAGAGGAAAGCGTCACAGCGCTAGGTTACCAGAAGACAACACTGACAGCTTAATGACAACAAACCAAAAAGGAGCTAGGAGATTGAGACAAGCTCGACTTGACTTTCCCCTATTCCAAACATGAAGATGTTAAAAACTCTTTATGTACACAGGAGTATGGCACCGCTACGTAGAAATATTACAAAGCACTGAGATCACCGCTCGTTCTAGCGACGCCTTAGACGGTGGAAAGAGTTACTAGAACGACTATATCGAATTGGTGATGATTCCCTCTACTTTACGCGAGACATTCCATAGAATCCATAGTAGAACATGGATTCCTCACCCGTTAGTTATCAAATGGTGAAGGGACCGGGCTTACAGAACGGTATCGGCAACACTGGCTTAAGCGTGGGAACAGTCTAGCACCAGCATACTCCGTTTTCATTATGGGTATGGCAAGTGAGTCTATCCGCTCTTGCTACTTAAAGAGACTAAACCTGCAACAAAATCGATCGCTTTTGTTTCTGGTTTCTTCATCACCCCAAGAGCAGAGTACTGAACGGTACAAACTCCATGTTTTTCATTTCGGTACGGCTTAAAACTCGCATTACAAAAAAAAAAAAAAAAAAGAAAAATCCATACATTGGATGTACACAGAGCGACACAGCAGTTGGCAGGTAAACGCTCTACCCGATTACATTCAGTTTTATTTCCGAGTTGACCGGCTTCCAAGATACGAGAATTATACATGGTTATGTCTGACTCCCACCTGGCTAACAAAATGTGTCCTTCGCCACAAAAGAAAGCAAAATAAAACTAATTATAAGCAAGCTGCGCAAAAAAAAAAAAAAAGTGCGCATGTAGTGTTTGCGCTGACCTTGTCAGAGAGGCTTACAGGAGTAGGTCGCGCGTTTAAAACTTAATTATTCACCTTTAAGTTGTATCCATAGCAGGTATACGAATATTAGCGGTGCGACAATTCATTTCATGTTATTAGGGAGTTTAAGTATATATTTCCGATAACTCCGATAACGATACGATGCATGAGCTAAGTCGTTAGCTGATTATCGGGTATCGAAGTTATCGGAAGATCCAGTAAAATTCTCTACAGTTTCCGATTCGGTCCGCTAAAAGTCTCCACAGACGATATAAAGTTCGGAACCGTACCGCGAACCGCTGTCGTTCGGTAAAGCACCAAAGCAACAGGTAAGTACATTCGTTGACATACCTTCTAGCTAAAAAAGAAACAAAAAAAGAAAAAGAAAACCCCATTTTTCTTTACCGGTTTCCTAGAGGAAAACGAGTTTTCTTGTCCCTTTATTTTATTGTTTTTCACTTTCGATGTCACGCGTTCTGTAGCGAATACTTGCTGAACCGTTCAACGTAAGCAGCCCGCGACAAAAATAGCTATCCGGTTTCTACCGTTTGCATTTTTTATGCCTGTTTTGTTTTACCTTCTCGAGTAAGTAAGTCCTTTCGCAAATCTACCGAAGCAAATATTTGAAGAAGAAACCAAACAAAAAAGATATTTCCAAGCAAGCAGCACAGAACGCTGAAATCGGAATGTCACGATCCGCTAGCCCGCGTCCAGAAAGAAAGAAAAACAAAAACAAAATAGATTTCGCATTTCCCTCGTTCTTAATCGGAGCAGTAAATCCCCGATGCCACCACGCCTAGCCTCGCCCGTTCCGAAGCCTCTTTATCGGAGAGGTCCACGTGCAATACTCCGTCGATTACGCTGACACGGGGACAGCCGGTCACTAATGGACGCGGGGTGCGCAAGGACACCTCACAGCCGCGAAGCCAAAGCTATAATTTCCATTAGAATGCGGGCCTCACGACGCCCGCCTTCTATCGGTCATCGTTACTTCTTGATTATCGAACTTGATTATGTCTGCTTCATCTAATTACTTTCCCGATTCCTTGCCATGTATCGTTTTAGTTTTGTTTTTCACGCTCGGAATATTTAAAAACGAGTTTGAGACAAATTATAAGGGGGAGGAACCGCCCTTATAGAGAATTACAGTTCACTATATGGGTGGTTCCCGCTTATAACGAATTGACATTCCTACAACGAAGTCAAATTTGTCGTAGGAATACTTGTGCGAAGAATGACAGTCGTCTGCCTTGAAGTGATGTTTCCGCCGGACAAGGGTCAATTCGTTATAAGCGCGAACCGATAGCGAATGGTCATTCGCTAAAGGGCGGCTCCCACTCATAGCGAATTGATATTCCTATAACGAATGTCAAATTTGTCATGGGAATGTTTAGATAGAAGAATGGCAGTTTGCCTTGAAGCGATGTGTCCGCCATACAAGGGTCAACTGGTTGTAAGCGCAAACCAATAGCGAATCGTCATCCGCTAAAGGGCGGCTCCCGCTTATAGCGAATTGACATTCCTATAACGAACACAAGTTTGTTGTTGAAATCATTAGACAGAAAAATAACGGGCTGCCTTGATGCTATGTCTCCGCTGTACACTGGGAGCTTTGGTCAGTGTATTGCGACCACTTGTCAGGGCGGCGGTTTAATGTGCTCACGAATATCGTTCCGTGAGAGCCGTTATTGGTGTGTACGAAGTTTTAGTCTTTTAGACGAGAAGGAAGTCATTAACGGTAATTAAAAAATATATTTGGCAAGCTTGCGTTGCATACAGATACCGACAATTGTCATATGTGCGG